TGTATTTGTGTTAGTACACATAGATTTCATTTGAAACATGTTCTTATATTCAGTTTGTTCAAAAGCTATTTAAATACTTAACCAATACCTATTCAAATACTTTGCTATAGTTGCATCCCTGAATCAACACCTAGAACTTGGATTAAGTTAGCTGACAGAAAAAGAAGACTGTGACTTTTGACATGTTCAATGAGCTAAAGTTATCCTGTACACTTAATTATGTCTGACCTTTACATTAGTGCTCCACACAAATTTGTCTTGCTCCAGTAGTATTATACAAGAGAGATAAATTTCAACTGCTTTATTTCTTAGTGCCAGAAATTGACTGGAGGAATGAGAAGGGAAGATTTGTTTGGGGATTTTATGATTCAGGGATAAATTTTGAGATGAAACTTTTTATTTGGAAATCTCTGACTAGTTGGTAGTGAAGAGCACTAAAACATGTTGTCTTAAACCAAATCTAGAAGTCAAACAAATAGGCACTAATAATTCCTTAGAAATACCTTCAGAAAGAGCACCTCCTTGTTGAGAGCAACAACTTGCTATTGCACCTGGGTGTGTTTTTTACACAGTTATTATAAATTATAACTACTGTAAGATTCAATACACTTATCCGTGTTCGTTAAATATTGTCTTCATTTTATCAGAACAGTGCTATTAATCAGGAGGATTAAGTTAATACTTCCACAGCAGATCACAGTGTACCCTTTCTTCTGTGTCAGTATCATAAATGGAGATAACACCTCTGTCCTGGTGAAAATCAAGTCAGCAGGTTCTGGCTGACACAGCTGTTGGCAAAAGTTCCTTGTGCAGATACAATGGTACTGCCGAAACAGCACTGCCAGCACACTTTGTCTCGTATCCAGGGCTGGTATACGGTGCATCAGCAATAGTGCAGTCCTGCCCACATGAACTGCATCTGCACCAGGAGCATTTTGGTATGGCATAGCAAAATGCTAGCAGTATAGCACAAAAGGTGGTTTTGCATAATGCTGGAAATCGCTTTCAGCTCCAAACTGGTATGTTGGTCTTTGTAGTTTTTCTTGTGCTGTAGAAAGACATTCGAGCCACTGCTGTCACCTCAAACACAATGGTAAACTCCTGTGGCATCCTATCATGGTAAAGCCCCCTCAAATATGGATAAAGCTTTGTAGAACAACTCCCAACCAAACTAACAGCAATTTTCTTTTTTTTTTTTTTTCCCAATATCTTAGTATACCTCACAAACATTACTAAGATGAGCTTCACAAAATGCTTTTGCTATTGTCATTCCCATTTTGCAGAGGGGAACACAAAATTGTATTCGTCCTTCACTGGGTCACTAGCAAGACAGGCTAAAACTTGCAACTCCACTCCCCTGGAAAGCATCAGAGTTGGGTATGTTGCTGTGGGCCAACACTGAATGTGAAAAGTGCCTGGGGAGAACTGTCATCTGTGTTCTTCTCCTTTAGTTAACTTGTTTCCCTGGCAAACTTTAGATACATTAACTGTGATACCCTTTTTGAAGCCTCCAGCTATGACTTTCCTTGACACATTCTAGTTATCCTCCATCATTTTGATTCAGGACAGTCTCTTACCTCCCAGACATTTTGTTGTGGGGAAAAGATAGGAGGCAAAGGAGCACTGGTAAGAGTTTTACAACCCTGTAAATGTATCCACCTTCAAGTAGACATTGCTGCTCAACAGGAGAAAATCTGATAAGAAACAGCTGAGAGGGGAGCAGAACAACTGACTGCTGTTGAAGTTACTAACATTTAATATAAACTAAAGTCAGACTGAACATCTACCACAATATTGTTACTATAGATCAGTTGGAGCCTAGGCTAAAACATTTTTAAGGAATATATGCTTGGCTATAAGCTTCTCGGAAGGAAAGGGAAGCTTTCCCTTCTCTGTGGGAAAGGAAGCATTAACATCTGAATGTCAGATGTTCCAAAATATCCTTAAAGTACTGGGGTCATTGTGTAAACTTCGGCGAACAATGAACGCTCGTGCCGACACACTGAAGATTAATTTTCTTACCGACAGCTGTGCAAGCCCTGAGATCAAGCCCGAAAGATGGAAGCAATTATCTTGTTTCCAACAGAAACTGAGAAAAAGAATAGGCATATTATATTGAGATCAATTTCCTGAAGTATTTGTGCACTTTTTGTGTGTTTTAGATGGGCAATTAGCAAAAGATTAGCTGTTGTGTAGATACACTGAGCATGACTGGCCTTTACACAAAGGCTCAAGCAGAAAAAGGGAGTACTAAAGGGAGTGAGAAACAACCCCTGAGAACATGCTCAGTGCTTCTGGCTTTCCCAGCACTGGCAAAAATTCCCCATTTTGATACAGGGGAGCATTTATCATTCTTCCTTCCCATGCCTTTTCCCTTGTTTCACCTCCTCCCCACTTCTCCAGTTTAAGAACTGCTCGAGGTCAGACCCTAGGAGCCAGAGACCAAGGGGAGTTTGCTAAAGAGGCACCAGATGTAGGCAAAAGGCAGCTGCTGGGGCAAGGGCAGGAGCAGATACTGGGGCTGTGCTCAGGGACCTTTGGCAAGGGACGACAGCAGCAGTGGGTGGGACACCAGAGTGTGCAGATACAGGGGCAATCTCTGTTGCCAGCAGCTGCTGAGACTTCAGGAGAGGAAGCATAAATTAAAGCAGTCTTTGGCCGTTCTTACTTACAATGTTACCAAGCAATCAGTTTGGCACCAAATGTGTGTATTAAATGCATGTATTAAAGCTCAGAAACAGGAAGAAAGCCACGTGGATTTTATCTAAAGTCAGTGCCAGATCTGCTTCATTGCTGAGCTTCATTTTATGACTCTTTCAGTTCTCCACCGAGTCAATCTTAAATAAAAGACCTGTGCTAATTATAAGCCACAAAATGTTCATGCTTGAACAATTGTGTTAAGGCTCCTGTCCTCTGTAGGGTTGTGTTCATAAGACAGCAACATGCTAACGTGCGTAAGTGTGCTGTCCTTCTAGTTATGGTGGTATGTATCATGAAAAGGCACTGTGAGAGGAGGCACAGTCACAGTAATATGATGACATAAATATGTAAGTGTAGCTTTACCCTTAGTCTGCTGAGGCAGATACATGTTTCAGAGGAAGGCCTGTCCCTTTTCTGGACCATTGGTGCTGTGTCAGTTTGTGAACTACACTCTTTTTGTTAAGGGCTTAACTATAATTCCGTCTGTGAGGGGAAATTAAAAACAACATCTTCGTAAAATAAACCACTTAAAAATATTGCAAAACAGGATTGATAGAATACCATCCTCCATTTCAGCTGTCCTCCTGGTATTTTTTTGCCCAAACCCTCTAAGAACAAACACCAATGATTTTTAGTGTGGGACAATTTTTATTTCCAGGAAACAATATATGTTGATGCCATTAAAATAGCATAGAAGACATTTAGCTTGTTGAGCTTGACATGGCATGTGTACTCCTGTCCCTCAAGCACAATGTGATTGCTTTGATGCTTTTTAAAATAACAATACAATATGACCTTACAGAAATTATAGCTGTATTGATTGGTTTGAAACCAAAGTAAAAATAGGATGGCAGAAATCATTACCACTACTCTCAGAGGCAGTCCATAGTACTAGTTACTGAAATAAGCTTATGTCTGGAAATGAAGCTGAACCAGTACTGTATGATCTGAAAACCCTTTGGTATTAGGTGCTTCTGTCAGGTATAAGACTTATGTAAAAGAACCAAGAGTTGCAGATGCCTGTGAAAATGGGAAGTATAGATTAGTAAATAGCAGGATATATAGCCCCAAGAAAATATATTCTTAGTTACTACCAACAGCTGCATGTGGCAACTAGTAATGAGGGAGACAAATCTACCTATACAGATCTGCAGCATTTTGCTGGAAGATGCATAACGCTGTCAGGTGTAGATACACTGGTGATTTAGCAATGCGCATCAAGCCTGTCTAAAGTGATGTAGTCACAACCATATGGATGCACAGCCTTACTACTCAGAGAAAGGCTGCACAGGTCCCTGTTGTGCTGATACATTTATAATAGCATCCGGGCCAGAGTAAATGCAAACGTATACAGGCCATGTTTCAGGTCCCTTGCAGTCCAAGGTCTGTAGATTCATGTGGCCACTATACCAAGTTGGTTTGCCTTTCTTACTGCTGTTTGTTAAAAAAACAAAGCAAAACAAACAAAAAAAACCAACAAACCTTACTCTGAGTGTAGGGTTTTCTCCTGGATTTTCTTAGAAAGCATTTCAGGATCTGTGGGATAGATCTTCAGTTGTTATAAACAATCACAGCTCCCTTGAAGCCAGCAGGGCTTCTTAGGGTTACCTAGTAGCTGAAGGCTTAGCACCAGGCTTATACAAAACATATATGCATTCAAACATGTGTGCAGCAGCTGGGTGCCTGAAGTGCCATAACCCGACACCTGGGAGGTCTCATTTTTTGTACTTCCCATCTCTCTCTTACAACTTTCACCACCTGCATCTTACCAGTGTTCAGCCCCTCACCCTGAAAAAGCATCAACAGCTGGCAGGGTTTGGGGCATGCCTGGCTCTCTGTGGTGGCCTTCTCACCCATCTCTTCTACAGGTCTGTCAACTTCTAAAACCACCAATACATGACTCCACAGGACACAGCGGTTCTGTATCAGTTTAATCTCCTTTGCAGGCATTCAATAAAACACAGCTGATGCAGATCAAGAGCTTTAATCTGCATGTCAGGCCTGGGAAAATTGAACCACATGGAAACTAAACAACTATCTACTCCCTCCGCACTTTAGCCCTACAAATGTAACTGTAGGAAGCCTGTTTCCTACCATTTCTGTGGTAGGGATGTGTCCCTCAATGCCCTGGAAGTGCTCCCTCATCAGTTCAGGACAAAGCAGAAAATTCAGACCTGGACAATAGAGTATCTTGTCTGCATGTAGGCCATGCTGCAAATTCAACACAGCTGAGCTAGAAATGGTCCCTGTCACACTCAGATAAACTCAAACATCTGATAAGACCTGGAGCACCTGTGGGTCAAACCCCGTATCTGGCTCATCTGGCCACAAAAGGCTGGGTCTTTGCTTTATGAGAGTCCTGCCTAGAACCTGCCAACAGATGTGAGGCCTGAGTTTTTGAGGTTATGAAGGGTCCCAGTTTCTTTTAGTCTCAGTGGGCACTAGGAAAACCCAGCACGCTTTACATTTGGAATGCTTATTTGGGTGCTAAAGCTTATATACTCAAAAACAGGAATAAAAGCAAATTCTGCTGCTTCCTCTGGAAAGAAAGCTCTTGGCAGTGTGATTCTCCTGCACATAAAAGGAAAGACACAGAAGTCTGGGCAAGGTCCTTCATCATGCACCGTTGCTGGGAGAGCGCTCTGTAGCAGAGAGAATCTGCCCTGGGTGCTCTGATTTAATATCCAATACTCAACAAAGACCTCTTATTTTGCAGGCCAGGCTTTCCTCCCTCCATACAACACGACTTCATGCCTCTACCAAAGGCTCATCTTCAGGGCACCTCAAAGGCTCCAAGGAATTTCAAGAAGACCAAGATGTCAAATGCAACTGCCACAGGAAGGCAAGCAGAATACCTTCAGCAGACAGCTCATGCCCAGAGACAAGAACAAACTCCGTCCAGGAATTTGCAGAGTCCTTCAAAAAGCAATTGCATCTCAAAAGCAAACGCTCAGTTTCTTTGGTAGGTAACAACCAATAGCAGCCTTAAGATCACTTCAGAAAAAAACCCCAAACCAGCAAGCAGGCCAGCTTTATCCCTGGTGTAATTGCTGTGGCTTTGCTGGGGGAAGAGCAGAAATAAACTTGAATTAGAATTCCACAAATGATGTGGTCCTTACCGTAGCGCAAACAAGGTTCAAGTGGCAGTATCGTTCGTATGAGCATTCTTGATGTAGTGTTACCATCTAGAGTTATTAAAAAATGCGTATTTTCAAAATGAGACACCACACTGGCTGTGACAATGTTTTCAGAGGTTTCTACGGCTGTGCCAACAAAACATGACGATATAAACTCAGGTTTGCTTCACTTTTGCTGTAAGACCCAGCTCTCTTTCTCACTGCTGCTGACCTGGTTTAACCATATAAGGTGTTATCTGTAAGATTGGCAGACATCGTGGTGTTTGAGAGGCTTCTCTTTTACCCCTTGGGGCTCCATCCATCTGCTTTCTTCAGTGTCACCACACAGCTGCAGCAGCAGCCGTTGCTATATGTGGCTGAACATATTTTCACTGTAAAGGCATGCAGCCAGCAGGAGATTCTCCCCCCATTTCATCCTTGTCTTCTCCCCGTCATTCTGTCCTGAGGCATGAGCATTTTCTGCATGGTTTGTGCTGATGAGGTAGCCAATAACAACTTTTTGCCTATGACACTTTAACACATTTTTATTATTATGATACATACTATCTGGTGTAGCATACAATGGAAGGAAGGGTAATAAACCCTAACTCACTTTTAAGTATCAGAAGAACACTACCGAATTCAGTCACCCTATTGAAAAAGCTGTGCTTGAATAGCACTTGACATGAGCACCAAATAACAATGGAGGGAAATATGGTTTTTTTTTCAGTTTGTTGCACTAACAGTTTTGTATGGAGAAGTAATTTTCAGCTCTCTTTGCAGACCTTCTGTGCAGCAACAAGACAGAAAAAAATCTCTTTTCAATAAGCAGCATCATTACATGATCAGTCCCACAATTATAGTCCTTGCATGCCCAGTCCTCTAAGAATATGCAGAATTATGGTGATGACAACTCTGTTATGCAATTGTTAAGATTCTAAGTGCATTCTCTAATCTTCTTTTTCCCCATTAGGAACTACTCAGAATTTATTTCATTTGGAACTTCACATTGCCTCATTTGCCAACCCTCACCAGTGGTTATCTGGTTTATCATTTATCATTTCTCAAAAGTGCCTCCAGCTAGAAAGTCTGTGAGTGTGTAATAATTGTACAATAGGTATAGTGAGCATAATGCACTAAATACGGCTTCAGTTCCAGTTAAAAACATTTATTCTGGTACCCTTCTGTAATCTGCAGCGAGGTGTGCCAGGTGGTATTCTAATCTACCTTTCAAGTAGACCAAATTGTAGTCTTTCCCTCAGTCATCATTGAAGTTTGGGAGATGTGAAGGACTTCAGAACCTCGAAGAACTGAGCAATAGGTGTTACAGATCTGAAAGGAAATTTGGGAGTGTGCTTAAACTTGTAGCTCCAAATGGAGTGGCTTTTTTGCATTCAGAGCTCTGTGGGTGTAATTCAAACCACTCTTTACATGACTACACAAGTTAAAAGAAAAAAAAAAAGTGTGGGAAAGGTAATCCCATTTCATCTCCTTCCCTGCATATTGCTTTTCTCTTATAAAAGTGGCTTTGAGGACACTTCGTGATATTTGGCACTTGTTTTCAGTGAGATCTTTGCAGCTAGCACTGAACAGCCTTCAGGCACATAAAGATGGATCAAGTGAAAGGACAGAAACATGGAGTCTGGGCTGAAATCTGAGTCTCTGCCTTCTCCCCTCCTTTCTCCTCTCCCCCTCAAGCCCTCCAAACAGGTGACCCTCCTACCACACATAGGGTACAATCAAAAGCATGTGACCTCTTGCTGAGTTTTAGGATGGCTGGCTGGGGCCTTGAATTTGAGCCCATCATGTTAAAGCTGATCTTGCTGAGGTAGGTGACTGGAATATTTTATTATACATTACTAGTGAAATAAAATACTGAGATTTTGTTGTTCATGTGGGAGTCACTTTTAATTCCCTGCTATTTTTCTCCTGCCTTTTAGCAACCTGAAGGCATGAAGGAGAGAAGAGAAAGAGAGCGATTGCATTTGGGAAAAAACAAGTCTCACAAGAGAATGGGAGAGAAATCAGAGCCAAGGAGAGAGCAGAAAGAAGATGAAGGTTCAGAAGTTGTACCTGCAAAATACAACAAACAGTTTCCATCACAAGCAAGCACTGAGAAAGGATATTTATGCACAGGCAGCCAGAATGCATTGGGATAATGAATTTTAACACTCTACCTGAAGAGCAGAGGGAGCATTCTTGTTTTGTTTTGACTAGAAGAGGCCTGTTAGCTAGAATAAACCCTGACCTATAAAATAAAAGTAAAATTCAACTGCATCATTGACACCATGTTACTACCTTCCTGTCTGTACTTCGTCCATTAGGAATGTGACCCTTGTCTTAAGAGGAGTGTGTCTGGAGCAAGATCCAAGTTAGCAATGAACGACTATAAGAGGATTTCAGGCAGATTCAGCATTGCAGCAGGACAGTGGTGGATGTGTTCATTTAAGAGGAGAGCATGTATTTATTAGAGAGCTGTGCAAAGTCATCCAAAGCCTTATGTTTCTGTTTTAATTGAAAACGGGCCTATTGCTAGGTTTGGGAAGGAAAAAGTACATGTAAACTGCCACCTGCTTCCTGGCCCTGACCTTCACTTAGATTTGGCTTGGAAACAGGTATCTTTTTTCTTTTACATTCTCTCAACACCAAATTTACCGGAGTAATAGAAGAGAGGTCCCTAAGTTCTTTTCTACACCTTCCTGATGTCTCACTTCTCTCTGCTTTTCCTCACTGTCACTGGCAATATAACTCTTGTTTCTCTGGCATAGAATCATAGAATCATTAAGGTTGGAAAAGACCTCTAAGATCATCGAGTCCAACCGTCAACCCAACACCACCATGCCCACTAAACCATGTCCCTAAGTGCTGCATCTACATGTTTTTTAAATACTTCCAGGGATGGGGACTCAACCACTTCCCTGGGCAGCCTGGTCCAATGTTTAACCACTCTTTCA